CGCGACCTGGATTATATCTTTTATGGATTTGTTTTTCGACGCGCAAAGTGAAAAAAAGGTGTCTCGGGTTCTAATCCATATACCGAATGTAACATCAAAATTGACCATTTCTTCAAGTGATTTATCGAATCTTTTTTTATTTATTGATTTATTGATTTAATTATTTTTTTTATTTGATTTTATTTATGTTGGGTATTGTATCTTTTATAAATAGATTTCTTTTTCGACGCGCAGGGTTAAAAAAAGGCGTCTTGGGTTCTAATTCATATACCAGATGTAACACCAAAATTGTCCGTTTCTTAGATTAAGCTTTGAACCATTCTGTCTTAGAAATGATTACTGATATCTTGATGGAATTCTACAAGGTCTTGTAACACTGTTGGACTCGACTTTGTGCAATAAGAATGTATATTTACTCTCCAAGCTTAACAGAAGAATCGTGGTGAAATCAATTATAAACGAAAATGGCATGTTCATTATTTATTAATCATAGCTAATGATTCGGAAGCTCATGAAAGATTGAAATAAAGTTCAATATCTATCTATCTAAATATCTATCTATCTATCTATCTATCTATCTCTCTCTCTCTCTCTCTCTCTCTCTCTCTCTCTCTCTCTCTATATATATATATATATATATATATATATATATATATATATATATATATATATATATATATATATTCCAGGATACTTTTCCAACTTATTCAAGATAATTTTCGCCTTATAACTTTCTGTCCTGAAGTAACAAGATTTCAAGAACTATTTCATTTTCAAGTTTTTTTTTCCCACTGCTCTTTGGACTGTCATCGCTGAAACTCTTCTCCCACGTACCAGACGTCTTATGGATTGAGTTGGACATTTTCTAATTCATCTTTTAAGCTTTAACTTGAAATGATGTTCCCTCTTCCTACTGTGGCTTCCTGATCCAGTTTTCCCCTCTACTGTTCCCTCTTCTTTAAACTTATACACCGATCTCTTGATACTTCTTGAATGAACATTGAAGATGGAATCCACAGTATGAATGTTGGAACCATTACTGAAGGCTTGAATGATCTTACTGCTGCTCAGTTGGGAAGACATAGTGGAGCTGACACAAACCGATTTTAACCTGTTCTCTTTCTAGCTGAATAACTCAAAGGTTTTTTAGTGATCCTTGCGACAAATGGTGTCAATATGGCTAAACGTCCTTTCTGAAAACCTGGAAAAAAAGAAACTGAATTAGTTTAGTGTCTTTTTAGGTGTTAAACATTTTGTGTGATAGACAATTACCCCAAGTTGCTACACGATTTGGTCAATTTTACTATTACACCCGGTATCTATCTATCCATCTATCTATCTATCTATCTATCTATCTATCTATATATATATATATATATATATATATATATATATATATATATATATAAGTTATGAAGAACTTGGTAAACCGAATTGGTAAATCCAAGGAGGATGAAATCCTGAGAGTTCAATGTTAAGAACAGAGCTAATATTTAATGAAAAACAGACCACTTTAAGGTACCATTACAATAATTTATTTCACCCAAATCCTTTTTAAAGGATTCCGGATCATTGTTGGAAGTGTTACCTGATGATTCATTTACATATATATATATATATATATATATATATATATATATATATATATATATATATATATATATATATATAAATATGTATGTATGTATGTATATATATATATATATATATGTATGTATGTATGTATGTATATATATATATATATATATATGTATGTATGTATGTAATGCCAATTTTCAAAGATGACTTTAATCCAAATAGAGTTCGATGTAAGTTACAGAGCAATTTATAATAATAAATTAAGAAAACACTTTAATGGATTTATCGAATCTTTTTTTATTTATTTATTTAATTATTTATTTTTATTTTTTATTCTATTACATTATTTTATTTATGCTGAATATTATTATTAATTTCAAATGATGATGATTGTATTATGTGATGATGATGATGATGCCACCTAAACTGACAGCACTTTCACTGACTTTATTAGATACATTGTTTTAAGACATTGAACTTTCTATCCTTTATTTCCTTCCATCTCTCTACTTTCCCATACCCGGTATATTAACTTGTTCTCTCCTCTTTACGGAAGCCCTTTTAAAGAAATCTTTCTAGGCCAATTAACTTTTGATATTGGCTCATCATTTATTTCTTCCTTCTTTCGTTTCTTTTCTTTCTTTTTTCTTCTCTTAATTTTTCTTATTATACTTTTCTTCATTTTTTCTCTCACTCTCTCTTTTGTCTCTTTTCTCTCTCTTTTCTCTCTCTTTTCTATCTTTTTTTCCCTTTCTCCTGAAGAGATGAATATAATAATAATATATATATATATATATATATATATATATATATATATATATATATATATATATCAGGTCATCCCATAAGTTCTGTCCGAATTTTGAATAAAAGAAAACAAGTGACCAAATGTTACATTTCATTACAGATTCAATCAACAATGTATTTTCCTGATTATCTATGACTTCCTTCCATCTATTAACACGCTTACTAATTGCATTACTGTAAAATTCTTTTGGCTTTGATTCGAAGAACTCACAAATGTCAGTTTTAACCTCTTCCTGTGTTACAAAAGCTGTTTCTTCCAAATGATTCTGTAAGCTACGAAATAAATGGTAATCTGAAAGAGCAAGATCGGGAGAATATGGTGGATGAGGAATTTTCTCCCAACCAAGTTTTTCGATCTTTTGTGACGTGATTCTTGCTGTGTGGGGTCGCGCATTGTCCTGATGAAACATCACATCTTTTTGATTCACTAGAGCAGGTCATTTTTTCCTCAAAGCTTGGTTCAAACGCTCTAATTGCTGACAGTATATCTGAGTATTAATTGTTGCATTAGGTGGTAAGAATTCGAAGTGGATTATTCCTTGGCGATACCACCAGATTGAAAGAAGAACCTTTTGCCCATGAAGTTCCCTTCTCGGCTGTGGCTGGGGTCCTTCCCCTTTACCAAGCCACTGTCTACGACGCTTAACATTTCAATAAAAGATCCATTTTTCTTCACCAGGCTCAAGTCTATCCAAAAAAGGTGAAACATGTTGGCGAGAATGGAGAGAAGAGCAGATGTCAACTCGGGATTTGAAGTTGTTTTCAGACAATTCATGATGCACCCATTTTCCAAGTTTAGGAACTTTTTCAAGTTGTTGAAGATGACGATGAACAGTTGTATGGTTTGAACAGAGAACCACTGCAAATTCCTCAACTGATAAAGCAGGATGTTCTTCAAGGGCTGCTTCAAGAAGCTTTTCATCAAACCCAACTGGACGTCCGATTCGATCTTCATCTTCAAGGGTGAAATCTCCACCTCTGAATTTTGCAAACCATCTTCTGCAAGTTATTTCATTCACACATCCCTCTCCATAAACTGAGTGAATGTTTCTAGCCGCTTCGGCTGCTGAGTTTCCTTTCTTGAACTCATAAATCATTATGTGCCTCAAATAACCTAGGGTACTTCCATGTTAGCAGGTTTTTAATCAAACAAAATTTAATTTTATTGTTCTCTGAAATAAAATTTGATCAGTTTAAATGCATCTAAACATAAAAATAATGTTCAGCTCCATTAGACATTATAAAATACTCTTTAAATTTCGTTCATTTTAACAAAAAGTTAAAATTCGGACAGAACTTATGGGATGACCTGATGTATATATATATATATATATATATATATATATATATATATATATATATATACATACATATATATATATATATATATATATATATGTGTGTGTGTGTGTGTGTGTGTGCGCGCGCGTATTTGGGTAGCAACCCTTCTTTTATACAAGTTTTATTAAAGTCGACTGAGAAGGTGTTTTATTCAATTTTTATTGTGCTCGTGCGATTTTTTGTCATACGAATATTCTCACTGAATAAAAAGCTTAATCGCAGTACCTTGCACGTCGTCTTTTATATATATATATATATATGTGTGTGTGTGTGTGTGTGTGTGTGTGTGTGTGTGTGTGTGTGTGTGTGTGTGTGTGTTTGTGTGTGCGTGTCTGTGCACGCGCCTGTGTATGCGTGCCTGTTGCATATAAGGCTATAGTAATATTTGATCTGATTTTATGTAGGCATATAGTTGTCCGTGCACAATCATGCGACAACGGTTGACTGCTAATAACAGCTAAAGCGCTTTCCAGCCCACACAGAACGCTGCTACTCTTCCTCATATTATATATAGAAATAGATAGATAGATAGATAGATAGATAGATAGATAGATAGATAGATAGATAGATAGATAGATAGAGAGAGGGGGAGAGAGAGAAATGCGTGTGTTGTGCAGGAGGTGACGGTAAATGCTACATGCAAAAGTCACGCGTGCATTTATAAAAGAAAGAGTAAATAACAAAGTATCATAGTACGAATGAACAGAAACCAGGAAACAAAACAAATTCCAGCATATAATAAAATTAAACGAATTCGCTTAGAATTGCGATATTTGTCGGAAAACAATTTTGTCAAATGTGATATTGTGAACCGTTTAGGAAGTGGCCCGCAGCAAATTGACTTCCGGTTTCTCAGCATTGCTTTCGGCTTTTGTTTTCGCCATTTTTGGAAGTTGTAATTCTTTGTGCCTTTTTTTCTTTAACTTGTTTGTTTTTTTGGTTTTTGTTTTGTTTTTGTTTTTTTTGTGGGGGGGTTGTTACTGTATGTTTTTCGTTTATTTTTCTATCGAAATTATATTTGGTTTGGAATCGACATTTCTGCATTTTTTTATACAGTTCTCGCTTTTCAGATATTCGCTTCATATATATATATATATATATATATATATATATATCATTCCCATCTTCGGTTGGTCCGCTCGTTAAGGTTAATTCTTCCGAATTCATGTAACAATTACAGCGGTAAGAGAGAAGTTATATTAATTTCTTTTTCATTCGAGTCCCATATACTCTACGCTGACAAATGTCAACATGATATCAGGATGAAAACTGTTATGGAATGCGGTTTTCTTCGTATTTTCTTTGTCGAGCTGTAACCGTTAATCTCGAGTATCGTATTTGATATCTACTTACCACCTCATGCAGACAGGATGCGACACAAGCTCTGTATAATATGGGAAATTCGAGCGCGTGCACCCGTCGGTTACGCTGTCATCGGCATCAGAATCGAACCCCCCCTCCCCCCAGTGGCTCGGAATTGGAAATCGAAGAGACGAGTTCCAAACCCAAATTGTTATTGTCATAAAGAAAGAAAATGAGTAACTACACCGTGTTTCGAACGTGACACTCTGGACTTATGAACATATTTTTTCCGCCAGCAGAATCAATAGCGGTGTCAATCTAATGACTGGTGGGATTATTAGTGGATAATTATTGTACGCCAATGATTTGGGTTTTGATTTAGGATTTACCGGACGTTAAACCGAGCCGCGCTACTAACAAGGTATTCAATGAAATGGTTAATTATCTCTGACTTTTCCTTCTTTGTTCTTGTTAAGTATTTATTTTCAGTTGTAATTAAATACAATTTTATTTTAACATTGAAGTCTTGAGTTATTTTATTTTATTTTATTTTTTTTAAGCATTTCACCCCCAAGCAAGGCGGGAAGCCACTAGGACGCAAGGGGTTACAGAAAGTTTAGAGCAAGATCAGATAGGAGTGATAGAAGAAAGGATGAGGGTAGTGGATAGATCAAGGCAACTGGAGATGTCGATTGACATTACACTTGAATAGCTGGAGATTATAGCTCACAGGGAAACAGGAATAGGGAAGGGAGTTCCACAGGCGAGAAGTGCGAGACATGAAGCTATTAGAGTATAAGAGACGGCTACATTTAGGAATTTCGACACTGAAGGGGTGAGAGCGGGATGCCAGCCTCGTAAGGCGCTGGAACCCATGACGTCTGGGAACCAGCGAATGCAGCTCATCGGAGCAATTTCCATGAAAGTATTTGTAGAACAGACAGAGGGAGGCGACGGTGCGTCTATGAGAAAGTGACTGTAGACGAGTCGCCAGGGCCGAGCCAACTACATTGCATATCCGCCTCTGGATCCTATCAAGAACCCTGAGGCAAACAGAATAATTAACGCCCACCGTACATCACAAAACAAATGAAGAGGAAACTTGAGGTAACTGAGATATATATCCAGTCGGATTAGTGTGAATTATTGTGCGTCAGTGATTTGGGGTTTGAATTAGGATTTACCGGACGTTAAGCCGATCCGCGCTGCTAACAAAGTATTCAATGAAATGGCTATCTTTGATTGACTTTTACTTCTTTGTTCTTTTTAAGTATTTATTTGCGATTGTAATTAAATACTGTTTTATTTTAACATTGAAGTCTTGAGTTATACTTAATTATTAACGCCCACCGTATGTCACAAAAATTATCCATTATACGACCTGCACATCCAAGCAACAGTACTTGGTCTTCCCAACCGGTCACTCATCTAGGTATTGACCAAGTTCGACGTTTGTTAACTTCGGTGATTGTAAGGGAATTGGTGTTTCAGCGTGATGTTGCCGTAAATAGTTCTGATGGGACACGGCACAAAGAAAAACACTTTGGGTCAAGTCACTTTTTGGATTATTCAACCAAAGCATGAGACCTGTTAGAAAAATCTAGCCCAGTGGACAAAATAATGTGCTCGGTTCGAAATTCCAACCTATATCACCTGAAGAAGGTCGGAGCGTACGATAGCCGAAACGTCGTGAATATGGCAACAATGTAAATGGTGCAAATAAAAGTCACAATGTATAACAATGTTTCATCAGTATGTCTGTTATGTTTAAAAATTGCATACAGGTATAAATAATAATAATAATAATAATAATAATAATAATAATAATAATAATAATAAAGACCTGTTACAATTCTATGGGATTACACAATACACACTGACAGAACAATCAAGGCCAACCGGCCAGATATTGTTATTAAAGACCACAAACAAAAACGGTGCCTCCTTATTGATATGGCAGTCCCTGCTGACTACAATGTATCTTTGAAGATATTCAAAAAGTTGTCAAAGTACAAGGACTTTGAAATAGAAATCTCGAAAATGTGGCATATGGGAACATCAACAATCCCTGTTGTAGTTGGAGCCCTAGGACTGGTTGGAAAAGATTGCAGTAGACTAATTGAAGGGATTCCTGGAAGTCCATGCCTCAAGGAGATACAAAAAATTGTTCTGACAAGTACAGCCCACACCTTACGAAGGGCTTTATCTATGTAATTTAATTTTTTTTTTTTTTGTCAGTGGAAAGTGTCATGACGCCATTTCTAACCTTAGGTCCCTCAAGGGACCCGGAAAGAAATGTGTAAACGCCAGAAATCAAAGAAAATAAAAATAACAATAATAATAATAATATAAAAAGAGGCTGAAAGAAATTGGTATGAACACTACTCAGACCCGGTTACGCAGATTGGACCATCAACAATTTTATGGGACTTCACAATACACACAGACTTAACAATCAAAGCTAATCGCCCAGACATCGTGATTAGTAACAGCAAAGACAAAATGTGCTTTTTTTATTGGCATGGCAGTCCCTGCAGACTGCAATCTATCTTTAAAGATCTTCAAAATGCTATTAAAATCCAAGGACCTTGAAATCGAAATCTTCAAAATGTAGCACATGAGAACATCAACAATCCCTGTTGTAGTTGGAACCCTCAGATTGATTTAAAAATATTCCATTGAATGGATTCCTGGGAATCCAAGGCTTAAAGAATTACAAAAAATTGTTCACACGAGTACAGCTCACATCTTACGAAGGGCTTTATCTATGTAAAATACGTGTGATTTTTTTTCAAAACTGCTCAGTGGAAAATGCCAGGATACCATTTTTGACCTTAGGTCAAAGGTCGGGACCCGAAACAAAAAAACTGAAACTGAAGGTTTTATTCTTGCTGCACAGGATCAATACTTGCTAACTAGAAATTTCCAAAAAAGCATACTGAAAAATTGGTGTAGTTTAAAATGAAGAATTTATAATAAATATCCAGAAACAATTGGCCATCTTGTATCAGGTTACATGGTACTGGTACACAGTGAATGAAACCCGGCATGATAATGTGGGCCAATATCTGCACTGGAAAATCTGTAACACTTACGGAAAGGAAACTGCAAAAAATTGATACGATCACCACCCAGACCCGGTTACAGAGATAGAACCTGTAACAATTTTATGGGATTTCACAATGCACACAAACAGAACAATAAAAATTTAATCACCAAGACAAATTGTAGTTGGAGCCCTTGGATTGTTTGGAATTGATTCCAATAGACCCATTGAAGGGATTCATGGTAGCCCATATCTTAAAGTAATACAAAAATTGTTCTCATGACTTACGAAGGGCTTTATCTATGTAAAATATGTGTGATATTTTTCAAAAATGCTCAGTGGAAAATATCATGATGCCATTTTTGACCTTAGGTCTCTGATTAGGATCCGGAAAGATAATAATAATAATAATAATAATAGAAGAAGAAGAAGAAGAAGAAGATATTAAGCAAATTTTTCGCTGACAAAAGAAACAATATGGCCGAGTGCACTGAAATAGAACTATTATTTTGAAACCCTGTATAATGAAGAAATATAAAGAGAATCGGATTATATATATATCCGGTAAACTGATTGTTTATAGACTGACTCTCTTTCGTTAAACCAAAGAAAGAAATGGATATTATTTCTTCTTTAATGGAAAAAGGAAAACTAAAATGATAAATTTACCGCCAAAGGGAGTAAAATTAATGAGTAAAAAGGAAACGCCTTCCCTGAAAATACAACAAAGAAATAGAAAAATATATAAAAAGCCAATTGTTTCTCTAAGTAGAAGTTTTTTTTTTTGTTTTTTTTTCTATTTTATTTTCTCTTGGGTTCGTCTTCGCATTTTGATTCTCCCTGGCTTTTCTGGTGTTTTTTCGTTCGTTTCCATCTGCAGAAATTAAAATATTTTTTTTAATTCTTCTGTTCGATCTTTTTTGATGATTTTCTCTTGAAGCAATTGATGCCTGACAATTTGTTTTTTGATTGATTCATATCTCCTTTATGGCATTTTATTTTCATTAGTTCATTTGTCAATTTAGTCTTCGCTTTAAAATCGACATATTAATATTTTACAATTTTGATCTATCAACAGACACATAAACATCTATCTATCTATCTATCTATCTATCTATCTATCTATCTATCTATCTATCTATCTATCAGTGACTTTCTTTCTATCTATCTATATATCTATCTCAGTCACTTCCTATCTATCTATCTATCTATCTATCTATCTATCTATCTCAGTCACTTCCCTATCTATCTATCTATCTATCTATCTATCTATCTATCTGTCAGTGACTTTCTATCTATCTATCTATCTATCTATCTATCTATCTAACTATCTATCTATCTATCTATCTATCTATCTGTCTGCCTGTGTACCTACCTATCTATCAGTGACTTCATATCTACCTATCTGTATCAATCACTTCCTATCTATCTATCTATCTATCTATCTATCTATCTATCTATCTATCTATCTTTATCAGTCACTTACTATCTATCTATCTATCTATCTATCTATCTCACTTAGCATTTTCGTTATCTACCAGTGACTTTGTATCTATCTATCTCTATATGTTCCTATACCTCACTCAGTATGTTCATTATCTAGCTAGCTAGCTAGCTATTTGTGACTTTCTTTCTTGCTATCTATCTATCTATCTATCTATCTATCTATCTATCTATCTATCTATCTATCTAATTCTTTTCAGCTCATCCCTGGATTCAATTTCCCAATTTTTTATACTGTTTTAGTTTCCTTTGTATCTGCAAAAAATTAACATATTTTTTTATTTCCTAAGATTTGATTTTTTTTTTAGTTTTTTTTTTTTTTTAGTTTCTCTTCAAGCAATTCGTTCCAGTCAGTTTGTTTCTTCTTTTATTCATTACTCCTGTTCTTTACGGCGTTTCATTTTCATCAATTCATTCTTCAGTTTTTTTCTTCGGTTTAAAATTTATGTCTTCCTATATTTTCCTCTTACATATTATTAATTTGTCGAACTATTTTCTTTCCTTGATCCATTTATGGGATATCTATCAATATATATATATCTTGTAAATAAATTTGCTTTAATTATTGTGGAAAATACCCTTATTCCAACAGAAGATGAGCTGTGCTGATCCCAATGTACTCGGTTCACCCTAGATAACACCAAACTAATATCACACCAGAGCCTAAGAGAAGCCAGGAGCATCAGTGGGCTGTCCCACTAGACACCAGGTGCAGATTGCCGCCGACACTGGTAATTATGTACTGCATTGCATTAGATATCATAAAAAGTCGTCGATCCAAATGCCTAGAGAATGTACACACGTGTGACAACCGGTAGAAAGAAGATATATAAGCGCCACTCACGAGCAGAGAGAGAAAGGACAGGGAATCTCTCACATCCTCGCTAGACGAAGAATCTATATTTGGAAAAAAACACAGAACCACATACTAATGGAAGAAATCCATATATATATATATATATATATATATATATATATATATATATATATATATATATATATATATATATATATATTATGGGGTCCATTTTTTTCATATAAGTGGACTCGACTAAAGTGTTACTTGGACTGCTGCCGTTAAATACCCAGAGTCAGTCAGAATAGAGAGTGAGTAGTCAGATAGTAAGAAGACTGAGATTATGATTGAGTTGGAGGTAGAGTAATAGTGTGAGGTAACCGCTTGTAGAAGTCAGTTACAAGCACGTAGACTCTAAGGAAGTCCTACTTCGAGACTCTATACATCTATATGTTATTGCTACTAACCGCGTTCCTGGATATACTAACAGTATTACCCATTGTATTCTTGTGTAAATACATTTAATTTCTTATCTTTATTTCTTGAATTTGTCATTGATTGGAGACCGAATTTCATCTCAGAATCCACAACAATATATATATATATATATATATATATATATATAGTCAACGACGAAATTATTCACACACCCATCAATTTTGAATATGTTTATCCATTTCTCAGAATCTAATGCCCGTATGTTTTACGTTTTTAAATTTTATTAAGCACGAAAAAAAAAGGAATATAAAACTCAATTTTTAGAACAATTGGTTAAATACAACAAATTTGACAGGCGAATTATGTAAAATAGGAAAATACATAATTATTCATACAGTATGAAAAATTGCAAAATTTAAGAATTTTCACAATATTAATAGTCAATTGCATGGCCTCTCATTTTTATAACTTGCTGCAATCGTTTTCTAAAGTTTTTTATTAGATTTGAAGAAGTCTTTTCTTGGATTTTCTTCAATGGTTACACGTTCCAATTACTGAAGTTTTTTGAGTGACCGACGATTTATTCGAACTTTCAATTCTTGCCATAGATTTTCAACAGGATTCAAGTCAGAACTCATTGAAGACCATGGTATAACTGTAATTTTCTTTTTTATGAAGCCACGCAGTCACTGATTTAGACGTATATTTGGGATCATTATCTTGATAGAAAGGAATTCGCCGACTTAGATGAAGATTTTGCGCTGATAGTACCCTTGAGCTAAAACAACCCCAAAACATCATGGAGCCGCCTCCATGTTTTGATGTTTCCACTGTATCCTCACTTTATTTGCGCCAAATCTTCTGTACATCATTATGTCCAAAAAGCTCAATTTGTGTTTCATCACTCCATAGTACTTGTTCCCCGAAAGCAATTTTTTGGGTCCAAGAAAGTTTTGGCAAAATTAAACCGAGTAACAATGTGACATTATTTGTGAAGAGTGGTTCGTCGTGGTCAGTTTCCATACAACCCATTTCTATTTAAACAGCGTTGTATTGCGCGATTACTTACGCTGATACCCATCGTATCCAAACTTTTGGCGATGTCTTTCAAAACAACTCTTGGTTTTTTATTAACCTCGCTACACAGTTTTCGTGCAATTCTCGGTGACAATGTGGGTGTTCTTCCACGTCCAGGTAAAGCCTCTCTCATGCCAAACTGTTTAAACTTCTTTATAACGGACTCTAACATAAATTTAAAGATAGCTAACCGTTTTCAAATAGTTCTATAACTATTTCCGAACTTGTTGAAGTTAAAATTCTCTAAGTTAACGCTAAGCTTCTTTGTCCTTTCCATCGTGTTGTTAACGTAAGAATAACAAAGGTGACACTCTATGCATCATGTAATGTTTTTTACCGGAATGATCACAAATATTCTCTGAATAATTAGTCTAGAAGTCTTCACCGATAAAATAATTATGTAAATTACTTATACTTACACGAATCAATAATTTAAAATGATATTTTCTACTATACGAATAATTTTATCATTTCCTGTTTTGCATAATTCGCCTGTCAAATTTGTTGTACTTGACCTATTGTATTTAAACTACTGTATTTAATCTATTGTGTTTTATATTCCCTTTTTATGCTTATTAACATGTAAAAATCCAGGCATCATGAGGGCATTAAATTTTGAGAAATGGATAAAAATATTCAAAATTGATGTGTGCACGAATAATTTCGCTGTTGACTATATATATATATATATATATATATATATATATATATATGCAAGTATAGGATTGGTGTATACGAAATAAATTCCAATAACCAACAATTACTATTCTTAAAAGAGTGCTCAATGCAGAGTAGAGCGAATATAATCATTTATTTAAAAATTATAACATAACTATGTTATAAAATCACTAGAAAAATAGCCATTTTGTTTCAACACCTCTGCTGTCTTATTAAGTGATAAGATCACTTGATAAGACACCTGAAGTGTTGAAACAAAATGGCTATTTTTCTAGTGATTTTATAACATATTTATTATAATTTTTAAATAAAATGATATATATATATATATATATATATATATATATATATATATATATATATATATATATCAGTGGCTCCGGCGGTTGGGCTTGTCGGCTCAGCCTGAGTGAGTCAGCATTCAAGTATATCTATTTCAAAGCAAGAAAAATCTTTCGTAATGCATCGTTTTAATTCTTGACTTCAGCTGGATCCAAAATTTTAATGCCGTGACTCAAAATATTGAACGAAATATATTTCGCTGTTATTGTTCATAATAATAATAATAATAATAATAAAACAAAGAAAATAAGTAAAAAAAAAATGGAATAAAATAAAAGCTGCTAGTCAGGTCGCTTAGATCTGACCCCAATCGAGGATGCATACTTAATAGAGAATACGCTGGAGTAATGGATAGCGGTTCGGATTAAGGAATCGGAGAGCCGAGTTCGAATTCCAGTCGAATCCATTACATTCACTTACGTGCTAATACCCTTGGGAAAGGTATGAATCCAACTCTTCTGACCTGAAGAGGCACGGTAGAGTAATGGATTGCGGCTTGGATTGAGCCGAGTTCGAATTCCAGTCGAATCCATTACATTCACTTACGTGCTAATAACCTTGGGAAAGATATGAATCCTCTTCTTCTCTCCCTAGCTATGGGTAAATAACAGGACAGACTGGATTCTAAAGCCTTAGATGGTAACCACAGAAAGAAATAGGAATCTACTATTCCTCGTCAGTCATGTATCGAAAAATACATGATCGCCTAAGCGTGTATCACGCATGGGGCATAACTGACTGACTGCATCCGTTTATCGTTAAAAGAATGCATGCAACTGCACTAGTGAGAATTTTCAACGTGTAGTAATGGCTCATAAAAAAGAAAATGCTCTTTCACATTTCACGACATGGACGATCATGGCTCTCCCCAACTTCCTGTCTTTTGTAGCTCGTAATATTTATTTTTGCTATCTGTTCTCAACCTTGTTTCAATGTCCATTTACTCAAGCTCAAGAGATAGGTTATGTGTGGTTTTCCTCTTCCCCTCTTGCCTTCAGTTTGCCCCGAGTATAAGATAGACAGCATAACTGAATATTTGCAGTGGTACATCAAGCCATTGACTCGTGCTGATAATGCACTGGAATAGACAATATATTTTCCTGCCGCAAGGATCCTGATCGATTATTTTCGCGTACGGCAAACACTCCATTGCTGTTATAATTTTCAGTTGGATTTTCACATCAGATAAAAATGGTGTCTTTCACTGGAGTCCAGCTGACTGAATATTTTTTCAGTACTCAAGGACATTGTTCAGTTTTCCGACGAAGAGCAACGCTGTCTTCTGAACCGTTACAATAGAAACTTTTATATTCAATCAACTGCCAAAGTTGATATTTTTCTTACTAAAGTTTACACAATACAGGCCTTAAGAGCCACTCAATATAGATGGCTAATGAATGAGATGATAGATATTAATGAAAAAGGAAGTATAAAGTGAACATATGATAGGAAAAACAATGATTAACCCCGGACTTGGAGCCATTAAGATTGCGTAAGGGATTTTGAACTTTTCTTCACTTTTTAAGCATTTCATCCCAAGCAAGGGGGTTGCAAAAAGTGAAAGTGAGAGAAAAGATTTGGTATAGGGGGCGAGGAAAGGATAAAAGATGAACGGGGATCAAGGCAACAGAAAATGGCAATTGACGTTGCATTTAAATTTTTGAAGGTTGTCGTTATCAGTGAAGCAAGTAAGGGGAAGGGAGTTTCACTGTCGGGAAGTGCGAGAAAAGAAACTGTTGGAGTCGGAGTAGAAATGGCGATTACATTTAACTATTTCAATAGTAAAAGAGTGGGACCTGTGTGCCAATTTCGTAGCACGCTTAAATACATGTAGTTGGGACATCAGAGCAAAAAGCTCGTCAGAGCACTTACCATGAAAATATTTCCCTCGGAGATGGATGGTGAGGACTGGGCAGTAATACTCCATTCTTAGTCAGTTCTTTCACAAAGTAAAGATTCTATGGAATGCGAAAAGAATAATGGTGGTTAACTTCTGTGTATGCAGTCAGCCAGATTTTAGCTGTAAATCACAGCCAAATGGATATGATATGATCGCAGCGTTTAATAATAGCAGCATATAAACAAGTAAGAGGAAGCGCAGATTGAAAT